AGGATTTAAATAATAGGTCAGAAAGTAATTTAGAATAATAGTCATATAAAAATTAATCGCTGGCTTGAAAACAGTATAAGGACAAAGCAGAGAATCTCTGCTACAGAGATCATGTGACTAAGTGAACAGTCAATGGTAGGAGCTGAAAAACTTTTTAAACTAAATGCATAATGGAAAACCACCACAGCTCCTGATTGAAGAGGTGTGCAGAGGAGAGAATAGGGTGAACTAGAAGAGGGGAAGTTATGGAAAAGAGGAAGCTGAGAAAAGAGAGAGATAAAAAAATCCAGGAGTATGAGGGGAAAAATTAGGAGAACTTAAGTGATAATTAAAAAGAAGAATATACTATGATATCCCAGAGGAGGAAGAGAGAGGGAAAGAAGGGGTATTTGAAGAAATATTAGCTGAGAACTTCCCTTGAAGTGGGAAGGAAAAAGGCAGAAATCCAAGAGGCACAGAGAGAACTCTTCAGACGTAACTTCTGAATCGACCTTCTTCGGTACTCCATATATCATAGTGAAACTGGCAAAATACAAGGATAAAAGAGAAAATTCTGAAAGCAGCAAGGGTAAACGTGTTCTCACATATAAAAGGGAGACCGAACGACTGGCAGGACTGATCTCTTTGAAACTTGGCAGGCCAGAAAGAATTGCTAACGAGATTTTCAGTGTGCTAGACAGAAAAAAATATGCAAAATGGTAGAACTCTTTATCCAGCAAAGTCTGTCATTTAGGAATAGAAGGAGAGATAAAAGGTCTTCCCAAACAAAAAACTGAAGCTGAAGAATTTGGTCACCACTAAACCAGCCCCTACAAGAGATCCTAAGGGGGACCCCAGAGACAAAGTACCAGAGGACATCACTACAAGACAAAAAAACATACAGACATCACACAAATGACCCCCAAACCCATACCTTCTATAATAATACTGAATGCTGGATTAAATGCTACCAACCAAAAAGACATAGGTATCAGAATGGATAAAAAAACAAGACCCATCTATTTGTTGCCTGCCAAGAGATCACTTAGACCTTAGAGGACACCTTTTAGATTGAGAGAAAGGGATGGAGATCTATTTATCATGCTACTGGAAGCCAAAAGAAAGCTGGAGTAGCTAATCCTTACAAATAGGATCAAATTAAAGCTGCAACAAGAGATGAAGAAGGACATTACAATAGTGACAGGGCTCCATTCCATCAGGAAGAGCTACCAGGGCAAACGTTCAGTGCACCTAATAATCGAGCTTCAAATATATAAAAAAAACAATTAAGCCTATAAACATAAGCAACCTATTGATAAGAATGTGGTAATTGCAGGGGAATTTTAACACCCCACTTTCATGAAATGGATAGATCAACGACACAACGGTCAATAAAGAAACAAGGGCCCTGAATGAGACACATTGGATCAGATGGATTCTGACAGATATATTTGGGGAATTTGCATCCCAAAGCAACAGAATATACTTTCTTCGAAAAGTACGGAACATTCTCCAAGATAGATCATATAATTACCGTAAAACAGCCCTTCAAGTTTACATAGGCTGGAAATCATACCATTTTCAGACCACACGCTATGAAGCTTGAACAATCCAGCCAGAAAAAGTCTGGAAAACCTCCAAAAGCATGGAGGTTAAAGAACACCTTACCAACGCATGGAATGAGTGGGTCAACCAGGCAATTAGAGAAGGCCTGAAAATATATGGAAACAAACCTAAATGTCATAACAATCCAAACGCTTTGGGATGGAAGCTAAGGCAGTCCTGAGAGGAAAATACATTGCAATCCAGGCCTATCTCAAGAAACAAGAAAAATCCCAAATACAAAATCTAACAGCACCATTCCAAAGGAACTAGAAGCAGAACAGCAAAGGCAGCAGCCTAAAACCCAGCAGAAGAAGAAGAGAAATAATAAAGACTATAGAAATAAAACAATATAGAAAACTGTAGAGCAGATCAACGAAACCAGCTATTTTTGAATAAACAAATTGTCAAACTTAGCTAGTTTCCCTAAAAAAAGAAAAGGGAGATGACCCAAATAAATAAAATCAAGAATGAAATGAATTGTTAGCAACCAATCCTCTAGAGATAAACAATTATCAGGGAATGCTTATGAAAATTATATGCCAAATTTGATACAACCTAAAAGAAATGGACAAATTCTGAACACCTACTAATAATCTTTTCCAAAAAAACTCAACCATATAGAAATAGAAAGTTTGAAATAGACCCATCAGCTTAAGAAATTGAATCGTTATCAAAAAATCTCCTCAACAAATAAGAGTCCAGGACTTCAGGGAGTTTAGACGCTAAGTAGAGATACTCATCTTTCTTCTCAAGCTATTCCACAGAAAGGGAAGGAAAACTTCCAGACTCATTCTATGAAGCCAGTAGCTGCGCTTCGAACAACGTGTCCAGAGAGACCCAGTAAAAAAAGAAGAGAACTACAGGTACACTCGGATAATATGGATGCTGTACCTCTCACAATAAGATACTAGCAAATCGAATTCACAACGGGTATATAAAAAAAGAATTATTCACCATGATCATGGGAGCCCATTCCGGGATGCAGGGCTGGTTCAACATTTCGCGAAATCAACGGATACATCACATTAACAAAAAGGAGAAAAACCATAAGGATCCTGTCAATGATGCAGAAAAGGCTTCCTTCTTCTATTAAAATCCATAACACCTCCTTCTTAATAATAAAACTCTTGAGAAAGTCGGATAGAAGGAATTTAAAGATCATAAAAGCCATTTAAGAAAAAGCTCATTATCCTCAACTGGGAAAAACTGAGAGCTTTTTCCCGAGATCAGAACACCACAGGGAGTCTGGTACTCACCGCTGTTATTTAACATAGTGCTGGAAGTTCTAGCAACAGCAATCAGACAACAAAAAGGAAATCAAAGGCGCGCCAAATTAAGGTAAAGATGAAGTCAAGCTGCCTTTGCAGATGACATGATATTATACACATGGAAAACCATAGACTCCACCAAAAAGTTCAGAACTGATACATGAATTCAGCAAAGCCCGGGTAGATACAAAATCAATGTACAGAAATCCGCTGCATTCTTTATACACTCAACAATGAAGGCAACAGAAAGAGCCAAATAAAGAAACTGATCCCATTCAATTGCACCAAGAAGCATAAATACCTAGGAATAAATTCCAACCAAGATGTAAAGGATCTGTGGCCGGAAAACTATAGAAAGCTTATGAAAATTGTGTTGAAGATTTAAAGAATGGAAAAGACATTCTGCCATGGATTGGAAGAATAAAATATTAAATGTCAATACTACCCAAAGCTATTCACACATTCACGCAATCCCAATCAAAATTGCACCAGCATTCTAAACTATCAAGCAATCCTTAAAATCATATGGAACCAAAAAAAGGCCCCTTCAATAGCCAAAGTAATTTTGAAAAGAAGAAGACCAAAGCAGGAGGCATCACAATCCTAGACTTTAGCTCATTACTACAAAGCTGTCATCATCAAGACAGCATGGTATTGGCACAAAAACAATAATATATGCCAGACTAATGGAATAGAACCCAGAACTAGACTCCACAAACATATGGCCAACCTACACATCTGAGCCAAAGTAGAAAGAACATCCAATGGAAAAAGAGGTCTTTAACAAATGGAAGCTGGGAGAACTGACAGCAACAGGTATTAAGTTGAAAAACTAGACACTTTCACATTCACAAAATAAACTCAAAATGGATCAATCTGAATGAGATAGAAACCATCAAAACTGGGGAGGAGCAGGAAAGGTTCTTCTCTGGTTCCTCAGTCAGTAGCAATACCTTGTACTTCCCACACACATCCACTCCTAAAGGCAAGGAATTAAAGCAAAAGTGAATTCCTGGGACCTGGGAAGGAAGATAAAAGCTTCACAGCAAAGGAAATGCAAACCAACAAAAACGAAAAATGTAAACTAACGGAATGGGAAAAGATATCGGTAACGACATATCGGACAAAGGGTTAGTATCCAAATCTATAAAGAGCTCACCAAACTCCCACACCCTAAAAAGTAAATAACCCAGTGAAGAAATGGCAGAAAACATGAATAGACACTTCTAAAGTGAAGACATCCGATGGCCAACAGGCACATGAAAAGAGAAGTCTGGGGCCGCCTTATCAGGGAATGTATAAATCAAACCAGCCACCAGGATATCACCACGCCAGTCAGTGGGCCAAAATGAACAAATCAGGAGACTATACAGATGGAGAGGATGTGGAGAACGGGAACCCTGCACTGTTGGTGGGAATGCAAATTGGTGTGCAGCCATTTCCTGAAAGCAGTGTGGGAGGTTCCCTCAGAAAATTAAAAACAGATTCCACCTTATGATTCCTAAAAGCAGCATCTGTAAGTTAGGAATTTATCCAAGGGACACAGAGTATTATTTTATTAGGGGCAATTTGTACCCCTTAATACATAGTGTTCTCAAAGAATAGCCACAAATTATGGAAAGAGCCTAAAATGTCCATCAACTGATGAATGGATAAAGAAATTGTGGTTTATGGCACACAATAAATTTTAACACGTATAATGAGAAAAATGAAATATCTTTTTGTAGCAACGTGATGAACTGAGAGGTGATGCTGCGAAATGTAAGCCATACACAGAGAAAGGATTAGATACCAGAGTATGGTTTCATACCCCTGTGGATCCCTGAGAAACTAAGAGAAACCCATGGGGGGATAGGGGAAGGAAAGGTGCCGTGTTAGAGTGAGTCAAAGCCATAAGAGAGAACTGTTGAGAACTTCTTCTGAGAACAAACCAGCGGCATGATGGGGTGGAGGAGGAGAGGGTGGGTGGATGGGAGGCACTGAGTGGAGGGCACCTTTTGGATGCCATGAGCAATTGGGTGTTGCAGTGGAACCAATTTGACAATAAATTTCATATATATATAAAAAAAATAAATAAATAAAAAAAAATAAAAATTATTTGGTTTCTTTAATGTCACAAGAAAAAAATCTATTTTGATTCAAACTTACTAATTTTATGATTTCCGTATTTTCTTTACGCAGAATTTTAACTTCCCAGATGACATTTAAGTGACGGGGAAAAACAGAACCCCTGTCATTCCACTTCAGGTGTAATGTAGAAGTTGAGAAATCAGCAGACAAATTCAAGATCTCTGGAGTATCTGGAATTAAGGCTTGGGAAAAAAACAAAAGACAAACTTAGTAAAATAAGTAATGTTGTCTTCATATTGTAATTCCGTTAATCAACTATTTTAAACTCTATTCCTTCTTGATCAAAAAAGAATCAAGAATTAAAAGCAAACTCTCAAAGTGATTACTGACAAAAGAGAACATATGTATTTATTTGTATAAGCAGCTCCCAATGATTCATCAGTCAAATTTGAGTAAATTATTATCAAATCTTAGTATGTTTCCTTATACAAACAGCTACTGGGTTCGCATACTACTGTAGTGTCATCAGTCTGGAATCTACAAATAGGCAACATCAGAGAGAAGTAAAGGAGCTTCCTTTGGGTAACTGTAGGTCAAGCCTAAGAAAATGATGGAATATGGAAAGCTTGCTTTGGTAGACCTTTCCATCTGTTTCCTCTGCACCCTTCCCACTCATCTCCCAGTGTCAGAACCCCCAATGCTGGTGAAAGTCACCCACCTGGGGATGCTATGAGCTATTACTGGTGTGGATATCTGTAAACAGCAGCAAGACCATAGGAATGACCAAGGCATTAAGTGAGGATGCCAACAGGGTACCATGCAGATTTGTGAAGTACTCAGCAGGGTAAGAAGTCCTTCAGAAAAGCTAGCTGAGCTGTGGCGTGCAATGCAGTGCAGAGGGCTGGGAGACATAATGTGATTAAGTGGGAGACCACTGGAGAAAGGCTGACCAGGGTAGCAAGGATATGGATCGTGATACCTCATCATGTGCATGAGGGATATGGAAAAGGAAAAACCCTGATAGGCACTTCAAAGAAATGACCAGATTGAAGAAATGAAGGATTAGCATAAGGAGAAAGGGAAACATCTAAGATTTCTTCAAGTTTCTAGCCCAGAAAGCAGGCAAAAGGAATCACCGACATTGGGAAGAAACGGGAGGATAGGCTCTGGATGACCAAGTATCTGGGGAGGTAGAGCCTACCAATGGAGAGGTCTGCAGATAGCAAGTGAGAACGGGGACCATCAGCACCATGGACACAGGCTCAAGAGGAACTCTCTGAGTGTAGCTGAAGAAATGAACTTGAACACAGACTCAAAATGGCCAAAGCTTGTTTGAGAGCTACCAATAGACAGTCACAGCCTCAAGGAGCCAGAGAACCCCAGCAAGAATCCTGAGAGGCACAAGGAAACCAGAGAAGATACAGCATTGCTGAGACCAAAAGAAATGGGTTGTCATCTGGGCCAAATAAAGACAGTTCATAGAAGAAAACTGAGCAAAGACCACTGACATTGGTGAGGGTACTGTTAATATTTGAGAGAGAAGTTTGGGAAGGCAATGGGCTCTGAAGCTGCCTTACAAAAGAAAAAAAAAAAAAAACATGCTCAAGGATATAGTACCTCATAGGGAGAAAATGGTAAATTTCTTACTTTTCAAAATCTTCAAGTCTCCCTACCTACAAGGGATGAGTAAATTACTAAAATAGTTTGGCTCAATGAAAAACACATAAGATACGAACCTGTTCTGTTCTATGAAACATAGTCTTCTGGTATGAAGGGCAGACAATGTTGGGATTCTTTCCTGCATGTTCTCTCTTCAAATAACAATGTGAACGTAAGTTAAAAGAAACCCAGAGACACATGTTCTTGGGGGCTCACACCTCTCCTAGCACTTCCCCAAAAAGCACAGGGGCCAGTGAAATAAGTCACGGCAAGCACAAACTGCAGGACTTTCCAGAGGTAGGGTAGCCAAATGTGCTAAGAACATAGCACTATATAACCTGTATTTGCACTATACAGCCTATAACAAAAGTGGCAGAGCAAATCAATACAAATTAGTCTTGGGATTTACGAATAAGTTCTCAATAAATTTAGCTGAAATTTGCTGAGCACAGTGCTCTACACTGGATCTGTGTAAAATATTTATGGCTGTACAGGAAATAGTACATGTGGATTCAAAACCTAACCACTATGTAGCAAAGTCAACAGTTTCACAGCTACATGAGGACAGTGGAGGATGCTTTACAGGGCAAATTTTAAGTAGGAACTGCTTTTAAAACAGAAGGAGCCACTGGGGCATCTGGGTGGCTCAGGTGATTAAGTGTCCGACTCTTGGTTTCAGCTCAGGTCACAATCTCACGGTTCATGAGTTCAAGCCCAGCAATGGGCTCCAACACTGACAGCATGCAGCCTACTTGGGATTCTCTCTCTCCCTCCCTCTCTCTGCCCCTCCCCCCTCTCAAAATACAATAAATAAACTTAAAAAAATAAAATAAAACAGAAGGAGCCACTATATCATATACCTGAAACTAATATGTTAACTAACTGGAATTAAAATAAAAACATAATAATAATAATAATAATAATAATAATAATAATAATAACAACAATAAAACAGAAGAAGCAAACAAGGAGCAAGAAATTCAAGGTGCCAGTGTGATCACCCAGAGCAGAGGCTTCTAAGAACATGGTTCTTTCAAGTGTTTCAGGATGTCATGATCCAGTAACTTAAAGATTATGGGAAAATTTACACAAAGTATTTGTCTATTAAGATGCTCCCTCCCTGAAAAGTACACGTAATTTACATGTTATCTAAATAGAAGTGGGCTACTCTTCAAAACACAAGTCATATACAGTATTTTAAGCTAAGGAAGGGAATAATCACAATTATACAAATGAAAAGATTAAATATACACACACTTTTCTCACTACTTCATAGTATACATCCTCACAGTAAAAGGGAAGTTTCCCTAAGCTCCCATGAACTATCTATTATCTGCATTTCTTTCCAGCTAAAACGGACACTTGAGGACAATATTAATTTGCTTTCTAAAAAACAGGAACTTTTCAGCTGGGAAAGAAATGTAATCATTTGTGTTTATTTTTTAAAGCTAGTACATCTTTACCTATAACCTCCATGTTCTTCTTCCTCAGGACATCAGAAGATGGGGGCTTCCCTACTTCATTTCTGGGATCTACATGATTTTATTCTGCCTCAGACAGATCCATACTTTCAGGTTATTTTAAACTTAAGACACTAAAAGTCTTACAAAGACTTCTTTTTGTGCTAGCCCTGGCCAATTAGAAGCTTATTAAAAAAAACTGTACACACACACACACACACACATATATATATATTAGTTTTCTTTATATGTATACTGTTGAAAGCATCTGAAGAAAACTGAATTTCTCATACTTTTTTAAGCAGCCAAATGCCCCAAACTCCAGATCCTCTAACGCACAACTGCACCAACATTCCACAGCTTCTCCCGAACACAGCAGGTACTCAAAGATTTGCTGATGCAGCCACCTCCCTCTCTTATATTCATCTAGTTTGCTTTTCAATTTTCTTAGCAGTATTATCATAGTAGTAGCAGCTTAGTATTGGGATACTATTAATCTAATATTCTAATCACAATCAGAGCCAGTATTATTAAAAATGCTATCAACAAACTACATGATATGTAAAAACAATGAACTATATCATTCTAGTAAGTCATCCAGAATCTGTCTTGATTTGCCTTTCTAGTTCTTTAATTTTTTTTTTTTTTAATGTTTATTCATTTTTGAGAGACAGAGATAGACAGAGCATGAGTGGGGGAGGGTCAGGCAGAGAGGGAGACACAGAATCTGAAGCAGGCTCCGGGCTCTGAGCCGTCAGCACAGAGCCCGACGCAGGGCTCAAACCCACGGACAGTGAGATCATGACCTGAGTTGAAGTTGGACGCTCAACCAACTGAGCCACACAGGCGCCCCCCCCCCCACCCCTTTCTACTTCTTTCTATCCAATACTGACATCTTCAAGCAGCTCCCAGACAGAATCTTCTCAATACCTACTGAAAAATCAGACAACACAAACTGGCTCTCTGACAGAGTCCTGGGGAATTTTTTAAAAATCTGGAATGAAATTAAGTTAGATTCCTCATACTTTACTACAAAATAATTCCAGATGTGTAAAGGATTTAAATCAAGCATGATAATAAAACCAAAATCTCAGAGAAAAATAGCAAGAGAGTATATTTATATAAAAATGAAAACCATGAAGTTTAAATTTTAAATTTGGGCAATTATTTGTAGGAAATATGGCAGAATTAATAACAATATTGAGAGCTCTTGTGAACTGATGGAGGAAAAGCTGAGTTTCAACACAAGAGAAAAATGAGAGAGGATACAGACAGTTCAGAAAAGAATGAGAATGACTGATCATTTTTTCCCAAAAAAGTAATCACAGAAATGCAAAGTCAAAGTGCTCTAACTGGGGGCCACCAGATTGAAATGGCAGAACTAAGAGAAATTGGCAAAACCCAGTCCTGGCAAGGAAGTGAAGAACAAGTCCCCTCTAGTGTGACGTTTGCAAAGAGACTGAAATGCAGAGACTCAAAAGTTTTGGAGAGCAACTGGCAATGGACATCAAAATCCTAACAAGGGGACTGTTTTTAATGCAGCTTTCCCAATTCTAGGAATTTAGCCTTAAGGACATCATCACACAAATCAGAAACACGTATTTGCGAAACATGTTCATTAAAGCATTGGTTATTACACTGAAAGACCAGAAATAAAAATCTCAATGTTAATAATCAGTCACTTAAGTAATTATGGTACCTCCACTCAGTGGAATACTCTGCAGCCTATACAAATAATACAGATTTATTTAGATATCAAACCGAAAACTCTGTTTTCTGTTAAGCAGGTTACTTATGTACTAATATGAACCTCACTGTTTATATGTATATGCACAGAAAATATATTTAAGTGTTAACAGTATTTCTCTGTGGGTATTGAGATCATGGCTGATCTGTTCAAAACATTCTCACATGGATCTCACATACAGCTACAGAAAGAAAGTAACAAACATGGCTCTTCTCTCTTTAACTTAAAAGGCAGTGAGACAGATGCTAAGTTCCTGGAAAGCACGCTTTGTTATTATCCTTTCAAAATCTGTTCTATCTCAGACACAGACCGCTCCAAACATGCATCTTATCTATAAAATTGAACAAGTCACCAATTATATTTTTCTCCTTGTTGCAAAGTAAGTCATCCTTATAAGACTCATCATAATGTCATTACGATGCCACGCCCTCACAGTTGTCAGGAGAGAAAGAAACCTGCTTCTCCCACCATTAAGAGTCAAGAGTACTGGGGTTTTTAAGGTCTCAGTGTGTAGCAAAATCTCCATCTCCATCAGTCTGGGCTATGTCACGAGGGTAACATAGGTCATAGGCATTCAATCAACACACGTGTAGAAGATCTTGCCACGTGCAAGGCAGTGGGCGAGGTGCCAGGTGTAGAAGGCACACTCCCTGCCCTACTGAGCCTATTTCTTGCAGAAGCAACAAACGCAGTGCCTTATTACATAACACATTATTAATGCAACTGTGAGAAATGCCACAAAGGAGAAAAACACACTGCCTAAGGGAATGTTAAGAAAGGAATCGGATCTCCTCTGGGAGGGGATAGTCAAAGACCACTTCCTAGAGCATGCGACACCTGAGGAATTCTGAAAGGTATGCAGGAATCAACGAGGCGAAGTGATGCCAAGAAAAGTACCCGCATGTGGAAAGGATCGCCAACTCTGTGACATTTACTCTGACTCCTTCCTTCCTGATCCTGGCTATGCTCTAGAATCCACAGTATGGTTGCTGGGGAAATGCAACTATTAGTCTAACAAGTGGAATTCAAAAGAAGAGTAAATTTCTGCCAATTACAAAGCACTGTTGCTGCCTTATTTTCAAATCAATTGTCTTTTCAAATACTTACAAACATTTTTTTCATTTAGTGTGAATTTACTTATAGGATTTCCAAAATCATATAGACGATTTATGGTTATTTCATGATCGCCAGGTAAAAGAGCTGGGATTTTAGCATTTGCTTTCTCTGACTGATAACAAGAACGGGACCTGCAATATAAAAAATCACATTTTAATTAGTGGATAAAACTAATAGTGCAATTTTCATAAAAGCCTGATTAACACAAAATGCACCAGAAAATACTTTCTGTTCTTTCATACAGAAACACGATAGGTTACACTGCGTTTTAAGACTGAGAAAAGAGAGGTTAATGGTAAGTGCATCAACATGGAGGATGAATAACCAGATTGGGCCAGAGAGTCGAGTGATAAGCAGAGATGGTCATTTCAAGAAACTCAGGATTTCAGCATGCCCTTCACACTCCCACCAGCCTTCCCTCTGCAGCCTTCCCTCGAGCTGCACACGCCTGCTCCCCTAACCCCCCACCCCTCTACAGAAGACCATCACAGAGTCTCACGTGCAGAGGCTGCTCCACAGATAGAGGACAAGAATGAAACTGGCTGTCTGTGGCCCTTCAAACACACCCTCGACTTGGCCACTGCTCCTGTTTTGGCTCACGGTTTGGTCTGAACAACACTTTCTCATCCGCTCTGTTTCCAAAGCTCTTCCAGTTCCCCATCCATTATCCCCTGGACAAAAGTCATTCCTCTCCTCTGTGGTTTCATGGCCCTCTGAACCTTTCAAGAGCGCATTTATATTATTTTAACCGTTATTCATGTATATTTCTAACGTCCCATGCAAATCTGAACTCAAGCAAAGGGCCTCTGCGGTGTCCCGGCGTCCCAGCGTCCCTGCCCGGCACGTCGCGCGGGCCTCTCCACGTCACTCACTAGGAAGGACCACCACGGAACAGGTCGGCTCACCTGTTCTCAGCCTCACAGCGGGAGGCTTCGTTAGGTGTCAGTAACACAGAAGCACCTGAATTCGCTAAATCGTGCTATTTCATAAGTTCCATTATGCCACTGAGCCCCTATCCTTTCAGGCTGGAATGTCCTTCTGTCCTTTTGCTGCTGAGAAGACCGGGAATTAGTACTCCGCAATCACCCCTCCAACAGCCTCTCCGGCACCCCACGCTCCTCAGTCAATGCTCCGTCGACCCTTCACATAGAATTTCCACATTTCTGGCAGCACCTGACCCACAGCACTGCTACGATTGGTCTCCTGTGAACAGAGAGCCAGAACAACTCCCTCTCCCTGTGGCCTGAGGTAAGCCACTCATGTTATTTACCAGGTTTGTCAGGTTCTCCCAGACCTGCTGGACTCACAGCAGGACTGCACTTCCCACTCCTCTGAGGCAAGGCGTAGCGATGCAACTTTATTTATGGAGAAATGGGAGTGAAAGTCACATCTGTCACTTCAGGAAGGAAGCTCTGAAAGCCAGCACTTCATGCACTGGAGGGTGAGGGAGCCCTAGGCCGGGCGCCCTGCGGGAGAGACTCGGGGTAGAGATGCCAGCTGGCCCCAGAGGGCCACAGCACGAAAGCAGGTAATAAGCCTTTATTTTCACAGCAAGTAAGATGTTAGAGCTGTTTCTGCAACACAACCAAGCTCCTCCTGGTTGACAAATTCCCACAAAGCTTAGACTAATGCTCAATAAATGTACACCAAACGGGGAAAACCTGAGTAGTACTTAAATGCAGACTTATGTCAATTCGCATTAGGACCGCCCATCAGCCAACTGGCCTCAGACCCGCCGTGCTGAACAACTCTGGTGTCGCTGAACCACTTTGCCTGGGCCCGTGGAGTCAGGGACAGCGAAGAGAATGTTTTGGTTTGCAGAGAGCCCAAAGGCCTCACCTCCAGGCTTCGGAGCTTGTGGCCTTCTCCAAGATCGCCCGAGAGGGGGAAGGTGGTGGGACCTGTGACTGGCCTCCTGATGTCCACTCTCCCTTTCCCTACATTAACCCCAGGTTTATCCAGGCACACTACCCCGCCTCTTATGCAAAGAAAATCACCCTTCTTTTCCTCATTGCTTTCTGGAAAGGCAGACATGACGGCCACTCCTCAAGCATCCTGGGACCATGAGGCCCTCTGCTAAAGGTGGCACGGCGGCATGATAAAGAGGAACCTGGGTCTCTCATCAACAACCATGTCAGCCTTGAACTGCCTACTCCAGGCCTGACCTTTCCCATTTGGCAGAGTCAAAACCTCAACCTAACTGATCTAGACAGATGGTGTGGGACAGACCAGTAAAACTTCTCTACAGATCAGAATCCACAACATATTCAAGGTGTGTTCCATACTTAATATTCATATAACAAAAGAATCAAAGTTTTAACCAGGAGAAGGGTTTTTTTCCACTTTGATTGACGTAAGATTCAGATTTTTTAGGAAACAGCTAAGATTTAAAATTTCATTAAAATATTTCTAGAACAAAATCTCTATGTTCTACAACTGACCTTTAGGTTACAGCTAATAATCAAAGTATCTCTATTACCTGCTTTCAATGCAAACTTCATAAATAGTACCATGGCCTGCTCCAGAGGGTGCTTTCCAAGAACAGTCCCACACTTGCAAATTGTTAGTTATACACTTCAAATCACGAGGAGCCCCTGGAGAAGGAGAGAAACACACACACACACACACAGAACATGCTTAATAATTTAACTGCACTGTAAAAAGGTCAACACATCAAATCATCTTTAGTCATGAGTATGAGCACATGTGTCTGCACAGGAGCCAGGTTCTTTCTGCAGGACTGACTGCAGAGTCACAGGAGGGACTGGTTTTAGGTTTCTCCTTGTAGCTGTGGATTAAAAAATGAGAGGAAACCGATGGACGTGGGCCAACCACTAGACCACTTAGGGACTGGGCCTCCATCAAAGTCCCACCTCCAGCCACTAAGATAAATGCAGGGAGGGACGGTAGAGTCAAGGATGAGACCCAGAGAGGGCCTAGAAGATTTTTTAAATAGCCCCATTGGCCCCACTCCTTCCCCCAAAACAAATAACTACAAGTAAAAATTACAAGTTCCCCATGCCCACAAACACAGCTTCTGAGCACTTGTAGCCATTGCTGTCTCTTTGCCTGTTACCAGACTGCTACCTGCATGGAAACCCCATAACCAATCTTTAGATTTTTATGAAGCATATGACATTTACGCAGTAATGAACTGACACGAGTCTGAAAAATATGTCTTTTGTGTAGGCCTAAACAACTGAAAAGTAACAAATGACTCAGAAGATTATAATCCTAATAGTGCTTATTCACACCTATAAAATACTATTAGGTCATGGAATACAGAAGCACGATACAATGAAAAATTATCATGCTGAAAAGAAAATGAAAAAAAAGGAGGGTACGAGAGGGAGGACAAAAGGCAAAAGGAAGGAAGAGAGGGAAGGAGGGAGTGGATAAAGCAATTATAGTGTAAAAAAGGTTATTCTCTCTCAGACTCTATATAAATGTCTCTGAAAAAGATTTTTTTAGTTTTTACACACGATTGGCATGGCATTTCGGAAAGCAATAAATTATAAAGCTATTTATATGACAGAAAACAAAAACGTTAGAAATACATTAGAAGTTATCAGTAATCATAATAAAATTATTCAACAGTGATCCTGGGGGAAAAGTGATGTTTAATTATGGAAGTAATATTAAAAATAAGTTCAGGGGCAAAAGGATAATGTTCTTCATAAAAATAAGTGAGGTAGTAAATCTACACAAACATTTTCAATATATTTAAAAAAGATGGACACAGCATTTTATTAAAGAAAGATATTTAGATTTCATTTATGTGACATTCAGAAAAGCAAAATTATAGACAGAACACAGGTCAGTGTTGGCTGGAGGTGGTGAGAGAGGGGCTAAATACAGAGGAGCATGGAGAATTTTCTAGAATGTCCTACTTCTTGATTGTGCCGGTGTTTACATGACTGTGTACATTTGTCAAAACTCACACAATTTTATCCTAAAAGGGTGAATTTTATTTTATGTAAATAATATCTTAATTTTTTTAAATGGGGCAAGAATATTTACATCTACCTTTATGGGCCTTTATAAAAGAGAACAAAAAGTACACAGAAAAAAAAAAAAAAGATTGCAAAGAAATGGATTTTAACCACAGAAAACCTGAAGGGTTCAATAAAGACACAGGATCACCTCATAACCAAAACAGTAATGGCAAAAAATAGCAATGGCATTGCAATCAGTTTATTCTCTAAGACTCAGATGTACTTACCCCTTTTCTGGCTATTTACTTGATTCATTAAATACAGAAGAATAAATGTTAGTAAGAGCCGCTGGAAACTTGAAGTCATCCTCATCCTTTTACCATCCACCATCCGGGATGGTCTTCTCAAACGCAAGGAAATGTTCATCATCCGTGCAAAGCAGTCAGTCCTAGGCGAGGAGAAGAGTTTCAAATGGTGCTCAAAGTGCTCCAAAGACCCCTCGTACTGTGCCCACCGGCACAGAAAACAGAGCCGCGCGAATACTGAAACATACTCTACATGAACAACTTTGTGCACACGAGACTCGGGCTGCCCGGGCTTCAGGAGATGTGAACATTCAGACACAGCGGTTGCTTCCGGGATCCGTCACAGGCTCAACTTTCAATGACAGCCGCTTGGGGCGCCTGGGTGGCTCAGTCGGGTAAGCATTCAACTTCAACTCAGGTCATGACCTCACGGTTCTTGGGTTCAAGCCCCGCATGGGCTCGGAGCCTGGAGCCTGTTTCAGATTCTGTGTCTCCCTCTCTCTCTGTGTCCCTCCCCCACTGTGCACGCTCACGTGCGCTTGCCCACTTTCTCTCTCTCTCAAAAATAAACATTAAAAAAAATTAAACAAACAAATGATGGGCTTCAAGTTCAAGATTATAACCAAGCACATATTTATAACTCTCCACTCCAATACTATTCAGTATAGAAAAGCAGAACATGAAATTGAAGTTTTGACAATTTTAAACGATGTACGGAATGACATTTTAAATTTTAATTAACATAGTCATTTGTGACAAGTCATTATTTCTTTTTTGTTTATACCGTGATATGTTTATCTTTCGTATAAACTTAAATAGTTTAAAGAAAGAATTAGGATAAATAGTAGTATAGCGGGTTTGCAGATGTGACAAAAGTATTGACAACACAGAAATGATGAAAGTGTACCAAACACCACAATGGGAGGAAAGGGGCTGCTGGTAAACAAGAAGATGGGCAGCGATTGAACCTGGAGTGCCATGGGGAGTGGCTGCAATGCAGGCAGGCGCTGTTCAGCCTAAGAGCTCCCAGAGACACTTGTCAGCAGCAAATGCCTAGAGACAGGGTACCAAGCACTGGGTCCCCATCCAGGCACTGGAGATACACACTGAGCCATACCAAGTCCTGGCCCTCAAGGAGCCTGGACTCTAGTTGGGAGATACACATATACAAACAAGTAAGAAATTTCAGATCTTGAAAGGTGCTTTAAAAACTAGAAGAAGTCTGAGGCGCCTGGGTGGCTCAGGCAGTTAAGCTTCCGACTCTTGATTCTTGGCTCAGGTCATGATCTCACGGTTCGTGAGTTCGAGCCCCTTGTCGGGCTCGGCACTGACAGCGTGGAGCCTGCTTGGAATTCTCTCCCCCGCCCCTGCCCCTCCATGGCTCTCTCTCTAAATAAATAAATAAACTTAAAAAAAACCAAAAAACTAGAATAAGTCAATGTGTGTGAGAGTGTGAAAGTGAAGATGTTAGCTAAGCTGAGGCCTGACTATAACTAGAAGATGACCATGATAAGAGCAGGGGAAAGAAAGGCAACAGATACAAAGCCCTAAGAAAGGACAAGCTTACTAGGTTCAAACGTCAGGAGGAAGGGCCGGGGCTGGGGCCAAGAGGAGGTGGGCTGGTCAGGCCACAGAGGGCCTCTGGGTCATGGAAAGGATATGGAGTTCCGAGAAAAGAATCTACTGCTGTGTTTTAATCAGGGGAGATCCATGATCTGACGTGCACTTTGGGGAGACTTCTCTAGCTGCTACATGGAGGGTGGGCTCCAGGGGAGGAGAGAAGAGGCAGGGAAACCATAGTGCAGGTGACATCACCACCAGTGGTGAAGGCTAGGATTCTAAGAGCAGACGTGGAAGAGGCAGTCACATGTAGGCTCTGTTCTAGAGATGGAAGGTCTTCCCAATGCACTGCAGGCAGGACAGTGTGGTGAAAAAAACACAGATTGGGGCTGAAGCCCAGCCGTGCTACTCATTGTGTGGCCTGAACCTCTCTGTGCCTCAATTTCTTCATCTGTAAAGTGGGGGTGATAACAATATTTTCCTCTTAAGTTTTTTTGTAAAGATTAAAGGCGTAAATAAACATAAAGCACTTAGCAGAGTACCACACACGTGGTAAGTGCTACTGAGCGTATTCAGTGTGTTGTGTGAGATAGAGGGAAAAGACAGGAAGCAAAGATGGCTATCAGATTTGGTGGGAACACAACAATGGAAGGATGGTGGTGCCATTTAAATCCTCTCTGGGTCCATAAAGAGGGAGGCAGCGATTTACGGGGCTGTTTACAGACAGTCTGTTTGTAACAGAGATTTGTTTAAAGACCTCAACTTTGATGTGTTCCTGCTCCCCAAAGACATATTCCCTGCAGAATGTAAAAGAACTGTCTAGGAAATCAGAGCAGCTACCAAAGGCACAGATATCCAAGAGGAAAGGCTTCCGCATCTGACACACAGGGGTTCCTCAGAGGAATGACGTTCCCATTCGCTGCTGCTGGGATGAAGCCCACCACACACGAGTCCTTCCAAGGCACTGAAAACTCCTTGTCAGACCTAATAGTGTCTCGTTTTTATACTGGAACAGACAACCAAGGATCATAAAACATACAGGCAGAGCCCAAAACAATGAAAAGAAATTCCAAATAAACAGGGTCACCAGGGCACAAATAAAAATTACTCCTAGAGAAAAGGGATAACGTGGAAAAGAGGAAAACTGAAACACAAAGAGAAAACCCACCTCTAAATCGTATTCTCAGAATGAACAGGACTCGGTCATAAAAACAAGAAGAGATGCAATGAAAAAGGAATAATCAGGAATAAAAATAGCTCTTGTAAGTTAAATGCATTGGCTGATACTAAAAGTTTTTTAAAAACGGATACAACATTGAGAGCAATCTTTCAGGAAAAAACCCAAGACAAGAACAGAACAGGTGAGAAGAGATGTTAAGAGCAGGGACTTGAGAGAGGAAAAAGGATCCAACATCTAACTAACTGGAGCCCAAAAAGAGGATTCAGAAAACGCTTTTCTTAGCAAACGCAGACGGCAAGACTTCTCAGCTACTGCTGAATACTGTCAAAAATTCAGAACAGCAATCTCGAGTAGCTTAAATAATTATAACCAAAACACAACAAGAGGCACGGGCACACATTTCAAAGGCGTTCAGCCATTTTCTGGCTGAATAACTTCCTAGTCACTTCTGGTGTCAACTCGCTCACATATTAGAATGAAAATGTATTCGTGGAATGTCTAAAATGCCAGTTGCTAAAGTTACAGAATTATTACATGGCCTGTGCAGGAATAACTGAATCAAGGAGCCCTGGAAGCGACCAAACCGTAACTGAAATAACCACACACCGCATTCACTGACTGGCTGAACATTAGCTTGAGGTGAAACAGTCCCTCACTACAAGTTTACAGTTGTTCTAGAAAGGAGACATGTGTCCTGTGAAGTGGCAAGAGCGGTATGTAGGCAGGCGAGCTCTGGACCAGACCCTGTGGACGCAGACTCTCCTCCTGGCTCCAAGGCTAATCAGCAGCATGACTGAGGCAAATCACTTGATCCCTCCCGGCCTCAGCCTCTGGGACTGCAGCACCGAAGCCGCCTCTACTCGGGGCTCAAGCGAGAAACTTCCCAAAGTCAAGGTGTGCTATTCCACTCCTGTTGGCAGGCAACAAGCAAGCAGATACACCAGCACAAGGTCGGCGCCGACCGCAGGCAGCGATCAAGGACACCACTGATGAGGTCAGCGAGCATCAGGCTGGGGTGCTGGGTGTGCTCAGGAACAGGACAATCAATGGCAATGCCACCAACACCTGCTTAAGTGAACACACGCAGGATGATAAAGAAAACTTTCTTCTGTCCTTAACACTTATGTAGCAAATTCGGAGGAAGTCGCTCGCGCCATATGATACGGTGCTTGTGATAGATCTGACTTCACTACTAAGCAGAGTTTCAAAGGGACTCACTTGAGACCACAACAATACACGAACAGAGCCTTCTAATGAACTTTAATGGAAAAAGGACACGTGAAACTGGTCTTTGCTCCCTTCCGATAGAAACATTGCCAGAAATTTACTTTTTTCCCCACCGGATGCCTTATTCCTAGAGGAGAACACGTTTTTAGAGAGCTTTAGGAGCTGATTTTCAAAAGGAGGCTCACTGTGGCTTGCTGCGGCAGCCCAATGCAGCAGCACATTCCTGGAGGACAAAAGAAGTGACAGGCCACAGGGGCAGGCACAAACCGGAGCTCCCCGCCCAGCCTAGAGGTGGCAGCAGCGGGCCTCATGCTGCCAGATTTTATTTTTCAAGCCAAGGTAGAAACCTGGGATGTATATGAAAAGCTCAACTTTGTAAAATGTAAGGAACTAACTTGTATTTTTTAGACATTCTAAAGGCCAAACAAAATATGCCTTCAGAAGGTACCCCACCCGTGGGCCACCAGTCTGTCTCTTATGCAATACAATTATGTTAAAGGATTAAAAAACATCAACAAATCTTCTTTTTAAGAAAACAGATCAAGCAGAATCAATTTATAAAATTGCTGGAATCGAAAGGAAAAAATCTATTTTTCGCTGGTTTAGTTAGTTTCTTTACGTTGCGTCCTGACTTCGCATAGGCTGCGGAGAAGCGCAGGCCAGCCCGCATGCAGTGCTTTCCGCCCCTCCTGGGGAAATGGAACCTCCACGTATGCACTCGGTTTGCTTCCTCCTCAGCTTTGAGAATCCCGGTTCCAATCTACATGAGGTTTTGGTCCTTTCTGCTGAGGACAATTAGAAAAGAGGGTTGAAAAGAGGGAAGTAAAGCTAAAGGCAGAGAAGGACCAGAAACTGCGGTCCAGACAGATTTTGCTTGATCTAATTTTTCTTCTGGCGGGGTGGAGGGAGGATGGGGAGGGGGGTGAGGAGGGAAGGGGAAATGTGGCAGAGAGCTAGTGTATCCTGCCGGCAGGACTCTCCCTACAGTGCCCGGGTGGCACTACAGCCAGCGGGAAGGGGCTTGAGAAACACCTGTTCAGTCAGGGAGACATGAATGAGGATGGCCCAGAGCATCCTTCATCCCGAGAATGTAGCTTTTTGTCATCACCCTGAGATACTTCCTGTCATGGATTCAGAAAAGGAACTGCACACTGGAG